ATTACAGGCATGAGCCACGGCGCCCAGCCTGAGTTTTCTTATTCTTATTTTATATACAGCGTCAAAGGTTCTTAGTTTTACTTAGCAGGAGAAATAGGGAAAAGTACATCTGCTCCATCTTCCTAGATGTGGAAGTCCTGTGGTTCATCCTACTATATATTAAAATCTCTTTTAATATATAATCTGTCTGTTTCTCCCTACCCCTCCTTCCCCTTCCATTTCATTTGTTGAAAAAAATGGAGTCATTTGTCCTGAGGATTTCCCCCAGTCTGTATTTTGGTAATTGCAATCCCATGTGTCACTTATTATGCCCCTCTGTCCCCTGTGTTTTCTATAAATGGTGATTACATTTAGAAGCTTGGTCAGACTCACGCTTGATGTTTTTGGCAAGAATATTTGATGGGTGTGCTGTGTTCTCTTGGCAGGCAGCACGTGACGCCTGGTTGTCTCTGTGTACCATTAGCAGCTTTCATTGGTCATTGTGTAGATTCATTAACGTATTAGGAGTACAGATGGCTTTTAAATACATGAAACGATGCCAACCTCAATTAGATTTTTAAAAATGAAATTTTAAAGGATGAGTACTATTTTTTCATCTACCAGATTGACAAGGATCAGAGTGTTAACATGAATGTTGGCAAGAGTGCAGAGGACAGGTGACTTCACAGGCTGCCTGATTTGACTGTATCCATCAAAATGACTTATGTATACACCCTTTGGCCCAGCAGTTCTACTTTTAGGAATGTACCCTGTGGATACACGGGCACATATGCAAAATGATGGATTGTAGTATTGTTTGGATTAGCAGGAGTTGAAGCCTGGGCGACATAGTGAGATCTTCTCTCTATTAAAAATAAAAAATAACCCTTTCGGTCCTTGAGCACGGGGGCACAAGGTCGTGAAAACAAGGTCTTGGTGAGGTGCCGCCATTTCATCCGTCCTCGGTCTCTACGCCTTTCGCAGAGCTTCCAGCAGCGCTATGTTGGGCCACAGCATCCGGAGGTTCACAACCTCTGTGGTCCGTAGGAGCCACTATGAGGAGGGCCCTGGGAAGAATTTGCCATTTTCAGTGGAAAACAAGTGGGCATTACTAGTTAAGATGTGTTTGTACTTTGGATCTGCATTTGCTGCACCCTTCCTTATAGTAAGACACCAACTGCTTAAACAATAAGGGTGTTTCAGTTCGTCCATTTACCAGATATGAAGAGCATTTTAAGAGATACAGCCTCTGGAAATGGATCAAACTCTAACTCATGGCATGCTAGATATGTTTGTCAATAAACTTATGACATGAAAAAAAAAATAAATAAAAAATAAAAATAAAAATAAAAAATAAAAAGTAGCCAGGCATGGTGGTGCATGCCTGTGGTCCCAGCTACTTGGGAGGCTGAGGTGGGAGGATCCTCAAATTTGGGACGTCAAGGCTGCAATGAGTCGTGATCATGCCACTGCGCTCCAGCCTGGGCAATAGAACAGACCCTATCTCCAAAAACAAAAACAAAAACAGTAACAACAAAAGTTAAGAACTACCAAATTGTTCTACCTGGAGTACTACAACGTTATCACAACTTGTGGCAGACCCTGTGGGCAATGTGCCTGCAGGATGCTCTCCGAAGCTTTGGTGGACAGTTCTCATTAAAGGGAACAGCCACTTGTGTGTTTTTGACCAAGCATGGGGCAGGCAGGAAATGCCAAATGTCAAGGAGAAAATCTTGAAGCAGCCCTCAGCCAATGAGGGATGAGTTGGTAGATAAACACCTTGGTGTTCTTATCTCTCAGTGACAGAATTTTGAGCAGTGTTCCACGGGTTTTTCAAAGGATGCCCTGTGGAGGAGCCCCATTGCCTGGAGCGGCAGCTTACTCAGCATCACACCCTATATTAGCTCCCCGTCCTTCCTTGTGTCACTTCCCCACTTAAACCATTTGCCCCTGAATCTTTATTCTAGGCTTTGCTTTTGAGGGAAATCTACACTAAGGCAGAGCTTGGTGGTGGTTTGGCAGCACAGTCTGACACAATTGGTAGTAGTTACTATAAAAAATAGTACTTACAGTGCCAGACACCATCCTTAAGCACTTTACAAGCATTAAATCTGTGTAACTACCCCATGAAGTAGGCATGATTAGCACCGCTATTTTTCAGGCAAAGAAACTCGGGCACAGAGAGGTTAAGTCACTTGTCCAAGGGCACCTACCTCCCCTGGGCAGTCTTGTTTCACCGTCCTGCTCCAAACCACCACACTATCCTTTCTCTGGTCCCCTGCTGCTTCACCAGCATGAGCTGAGCTTGGCCAAGGTTGGCCTCTTCCTTTCTGGACATCGACTGTAGTGGTCAGCTGTGGAGAGTGGTCATCCACGTACACTCTACAGTTGGTTTTCCAGGTGCCCAGAGAGCTTGGCACAAAGTCCAGGTAAGATTGATATACCTGGCCAGGCGCGGTGGCTCAAGCCTGTAATCCCAGCACTTTGGGAGGCCGAGACGGGTGGATCACGAGGTCAGGAGATCGAGATCATCCTGGCTAACACGGTGAAACCCCGTCTCTACTAAAAAAATACAAAAAAATTAGCCAGGCGTGGTGGTGGGCGCCTGTAGTCCCAGCTACACGGGAGGCTGAGGCAGGAGAATGGCGGGAACCCGGGAGGCGGAGCTTGCAGTGAGCCGAGATCACGCCACTGCACTCCAGCCTGGGCGACAGAGCGAGACTCCGTCTCAAAAAAAAAAAAAAAAAAAGATTGATATACCCTTTTAGGGACAGCCAATCAGCTGCAGAGGGATGTTGCACTTCATAAATGGTTTGTAACCTACAGCCCTATCATTTTATTATTATTTTTATAATGCAATCATAACAGTTATTTCTGGGGGAGGTTTGTTTGTTTTTTAAGTTTTTTTGTTTTGTTTTGTTTTGTTTTTTGTAGAGATGGACTCTTGCTGTGTTGCCCAGGCTGGTCTCAAACTCCCGAGCTGAAGCAATCCTCCTGTGTCACTCTCCCAAAGTGGGATTACAGGCGTGAGCCACCACGTCCAGCTTTTTGTTTGTTTGTTTGTTTGTTTGTTTTGAGATGGAGTTTCGCTCTTGTTGCCTAGGCTGGAGTACAGTGGTGTGATCTTGGCTCACCGCAACCTCCACCTCCTGGGTGCAAGTGATTCTTGTGCCTCAGCCTCCTGAGTAGCTGGGACTACAGGCACCCGCCACCACGCCCGGCTAATTTTTGTATTTTTAGTAGAGTTGGGATTTCACCATGTTGGCCAGGCTGGTCTGAAACTCCTCACCTCAGGTGATCCGCCTACCTTGGCCTCCAAAAGTGCTGGGATTACAGGCATGAGCCTCCACGCCTGGCTTGTTTTTTACATCAGTGCAATTAGAGCCTGACGTGGGTACTTGCTGACATGGGTACTGGTCATTTCCTATTCAGCAACAAGTTTACAAACCATCTCATTGGCCAGGCCACTATGTTATATTTATATTATTTTCTATTTTATATTCAGAAAAACTTTTTCTTGCTTTATATCCACATTCTTGGTATCTTAGTGTTGTATTATTATTTTTATTTATTTATTTATTGAGACGGAGTCTCACTCTGTTGCCCAGGCTGGAGTGCAGTGGTGCGATCTTGGCTCACTGCAAGTTCCGCCTCCCGGGTTCACGCCATTCTCCTGCCTCAGCCTCCTGAGTAGCTGGGACTACAGGCACCCACCACCGCGCCTGGCTAATTTTTTGTATTTTTAGTAGAGACAGGGTTTCACCGTGGTCTCAATCTCCTGACCTCGTCATCCACCCGCCTTGGCCTCCCAAAGTGCTGGGATTACAGGCATGAGCCACTGCACCTGGCAATATCTTAGTGTTTTTTTGTTTTTTGTTTTTTGTTTTTTTTGAGACGGAGTCTTCCTCTGTCACCCAGGCTGGAGTACAGTGGCACAATCTTGGCTCACTACAACCTCCGCCTCCTAGGTTCAAGCCATTCTCCTGTCTCAGCTTCCCCAGTAGCTGGGATTACAGGCACGCACCACCACGCCCAGCTAATTTTTGTATTTTCAGTAGAGACAGGGTTTCACCATTTTGACCAGGCTGGTCTCGAACTCCTGACCTCGTGATCTGCCCGCCTCGGCCTCCCAAAGTGCTGGGATTACAGGCGTGAGTCATCGTGCCCGGCCTACCTTAGTGTTTTAAAAATGACTTCCTCAAGTTTTAACATTGACGTGTTAACAGTTCATAATGTGGCCATTTAAATTTCATTTAAGAACTTCAAGAATTCACAAGACTCTCTATAATGAAATTATTAAAATCAATTATTCATATGTGAATTTATTGAAATAAGATGGCTTAAATAATTTAGGAGAGAATACTCAACATGGTCAGAATTCTCACATGAGTGTATGCATATTAATTAAAAATCAGGCTGGGGCTGGGCGTGGTGGCTCACGCCTGTAATCCCAGCACTTTGGTAGGCCGAGGCAGGTGGATCACGAGGTCAGGAGATTGAGACCATCCTGGCTAACACAGTGAAACCCCGTCTCTACTAAAAATACAAAAAACTAGCTGGGCGAGGTGGCGGACGCCTGTAGTTCCAGCTACTCGGAAGGCTGAGGCAGGAGAATGGCGTGAACCCAGGAGGCGGAGCTTGCAGTGAGCCGAGATTGTGCCACTGCACTCCAGCCTGGGGCGACAGAGCAAGACTCTGTCTCAAAAAAAAAAAAAAAAAAAAAAAATCAGGCTGGGTGCAGTGGCTCACGCTTGTAATATCAGCACTTTGGTAGGCCAAGGCTGGCAGATTACCTGAGGTCAGGAGTTCGAGACCAGTCTGGCCAACATGGTGACACCCTGTCTCTAATAAAAATACAAATTTAGCTGGGCATGGTGGTGGGCACCTATAGTCCCAGCTACTTGGGAGGCTGAGGAAGGGGAATCACTTGAATCCAGGGGACAGAGGTTGCAGTGAGCCAAGATGGCACCACTGCACTCCAGCCTGGGTGACAGAGTGAGACTTAAAAAAAAGAAAGAAAAATCGCTTCTCGGCCTTTTGGCTAAGATCAAGTGTAAAAAAAGAAAGAAATGAACATATATGATCTATATAAATGTAAGTCTTCTTTGATTTTTATTTATTTATTATTACTATTTTTTCGAGATGGAGTTTCGCTCTTGTTGCCCCCGCTGGAGTGCAATGGCATGATCTCTGCTCACTGCAACCTCCACCTCCCGGGTTCAAGCGATTCTCCTGCCTCAGCCTCCCGAGTAGCTGGAATTACAGGCATGAGCCACCACGCCTGGCTAATTTTGTATTTTTAGTGGAGACGAGGTTTCTCCATGTTGGTTAGGCTGGTCTCGAACTCCTGACCTCAGGTGATCCGCCCGCCTCAGCCTCCCAAAGTGCTGGGATCACAGGCGTCAGCCACCGCACTTGGCTGTGCCCAGTCATTTCTATTATTTTCTTTTTCTTTTTTTGAGATGGAGTTTTGCTATTGTTGCCCAGGCTGGAGGGCAATGGCGCCATCTCAGCTCACTGCAACCTCTGTCTCCCAGGTTCAAGTGATTCTCCTGCCTCAGCCTCCTGAGTAGCTGTGATTACAGATGCCCGCCACCATGCCCAGCAAATTTTTTTGTATTTTTAGTAGAGATGGGGTTTTACCATGTTGCCATGTTGGCCAGGCTGGTCTTGAACTCTTGACCTCAGGTGATCTGCCCGCCTCGGCCTCCCAATGTGCTGAGATTACAGGCGCGAGCCAGCATGCATGGCCCATTTCTATTATTTTCAATATAGTAAGAAATAGTTCTTGTTATTTTTGCCTCATGACAAAGACTATGATGGTAGAGATAGAAAAATAGAAAGCTGGGCATTATGTAATCAATTATTTTATTTTATTGTTTTTATCTTTTTTTTTTTTTTGAGACAGCCTCTCACTACGTCACCCAGGCTGGAATACAATGGTGTGATCTCAGCTCACTGCAACCTCCACCTCCTGGGTTCAAGCGATTCTCCTGCCTCAGCCTCCAGAGCAGCTGGGATTATAGGTATGCACCACCACACCTAGCTAAAATTTTTTTTGTATTTTTAGTAGAAATGGGGTTTCACCATGTTGGCCAGGCTGGTCTCAAACTCCTGACCTCAAGTGATCTGCCTGCCTCAGCCTCTCAAAGTGCTGGAATTACAGGTGAGAGCCACCGCAGCCAGCCCATTTTATTTTATTTTCTGAGTCAGGGTCTTGCTCTGTTGTCCAGGCTGGAGTTCAGTGGTGTGATCACAGCTCACTGCAGCCTCAACTTTCTGGGTTTAAGTGACTATCCCACCTCAGACTCCCTATTAGTGGGGAATACAGGCATGTGCCACCAAGCCCAGCTAATTTTTGTATTTGTTTTGTAAAGATGGGGTTTTGCCATGTTGCCTAGACTGGTCTGGAACTCCTGGGTTCAAGCAATCCGCCCACCTCAGCCTCCCAAACTGCTGGAATTACAAGTGTGAGCCACCACACCTGGCCTATGTAATAAATTTGATCATGACATAAGTTGCCAGGTTTTCTGCATGATTTGTTAACTTTTTTTTTTTTTTTGAGACGGAGTCTCGCTTTGTCGCCCAGGCTGGAGTGCAGTGGCACGATCTCAGCTCACTGCAAGCTCCGCCTCCCGGGTTTACGCCATTCTCCTGCCTCAGCCTCCTGAGTAGCTGGGACTACAGGCGCCCACAACCTCGCTGGGCTAGTTTTTTGTATTTTTAGTAGAGACGGGGTTTCACCGTGTTAGCCAGGATGGTCTCGATCTCCTGACCTCATGATCCGCCCGTCTCAGCCTCCCAAAGTGCTGGGATTACAGGCTTGAGCCACCGCACCCAGCCGATTTGTTAATTTTTAAAAACTGCACAAGTGAGCCAGGCATGGTAGTTCACATCTGTAATCCCTGCACTTTGTGGGGGGTCGAGGCAGGGGGATCACTTGAGCCCAGGAGTTCCAGACCAGCCTGGGCAACATAAGGAAACCATATCTTCATTAAAAAAAAAAAAATTACACAAGCAATATACAAAATTATTATGTTAAACTTCTACAGACCCAGAAGACAAGAAGTGAAAGCTGGCTAAAAAGCTTTTTTTTTTTTTTTAATTTAATAAATCACGAACAGGTGTTGGCTGGGCACTGTGGCTCATGCCTGTAACCCCAGCACTTTGGGAGGCCAAGGCGGGCAGATCACCTGAGGTCAGGAGTTTAAGACCAGCCTCGCCAACATAGCAAAACCCCGTTGCTACTAAAAATACAAAAATTAGCTGGATGTGGTGGCAAGCACCTGTAATCCCCGCTACTCAGGAGGCTGAGGCAGGAGAATTGCTTGAACCCGGGAGGCAGAGGCTGTGGCAAGCAATTCAGATGGCACCACTGCACTCCAGCCTGGGCAACAGAGTGAGACTCCATCTCAAACAAAACAAAAGAAAACAAAACGAAACCATGAACAAGTGTTGAATTTTAGAAAATACTATTTTGATATCTCCTGAAATAATCATAAGCATTTTCTTTGTTAATTTTTCAACACAATAAATTACATAGATAAATTTCTTGGCTGGGTGCGGTGGCTCATGTCTGTAATTCCAGCACTTTGGGAGGCCAAGGCAGGCAGATCACTTGAGGTCGAGAGTCCAAGACCAGCCTGGCCAACATGGTGAAACCCTGTCTCTATTAAAAATACAAAAATTAGCCTGGCATGGTGGTGCATGCTTGTAATTCCAGCTACTTGGGAGGCTGAGGCAGGAGAATCACTTGAACTTTGGAGGCGGAGGTTGCAGTGAGCTGAGATGGCGCCACTGCACTCCGTCTCAAAAAAAAAAAAAAAAGAAAAAAGAAAAAATTCCTATATGTAGTCAATCTTGTTTACCTGGAATAAATCCTACTAGGTTGTGATATATTATTCTTTTAATATGTTGTTAGGTTTGATTTGTTAATATTATAACTTTGGCACACATGTTCATAAGTAATAGCGACCTATAATTCCCTTTCTTTTCCTTCCTTTCTTCCTTCTTTCCTTCTGTGTTTCCCTCCCTCCCTCTCTCCCTTCTTTTCTTCCTTCCTCTCTCTTTCTTGGTGCTGTACAGCCTTGCCCAATTTTTTCTTTTTTTTTTTTTTTTTTTTGAGATGGAGTCTGGCTCTGTCACCCAGGCTGGAGTGCAGTGGCATGATCTCAGTCACTGCAAGCTCCATCTCCTGGGTTCACGCCATTCTTCTGCCTCAGCCTCCTGAGTAGCTGGGACTACAGGCACCTGCCACCAGGCCCGGCTAATTTTTTTCTTGTATTTTTAGTAGAGACGGGGTTTCACCGTGTTAGCCAGGATGGTCTCGATCTCCTGACCTTGTGATCTGCCCATCTCAGCTTCCCAAAGTGCTGGGATTACAGGCATGAGCCACCTCGCCTGGGCCTGCCCAGTTTTAATAACAGTTATAATGGTAAAGAAAGAAAGAAGAGTTTGAAAGATTTGTATCTTTTCCTGTGTTCTGAAGTCATTATTTTAAAATATTCAAAACGAAAACGTACATTTGGATTGATTTCAAATCCAACTGAATACAAGAAATATTAACATTAATTTGTCAATTAAAGAAAGGAAGAGCTATTAGAATGTTTAAATATAATTTAAATAGTAAGCTTTGGAATGGTTTACATTTTTCTTTTATTTCCTACTTGAGATTACGAAGTCTTTTTCTTTTTTTTGAGGCAGAGTCTTGCTCTGTGACCTAGGCTGGAGTGCAGTGGTACAATCTCAGCTCACTGCAACCTCTGCTTCCCGGTTTCAAGCATTTCTCCTCCCTCAGCCTCTTGAGTAGCTGGGACTATAGATGTGGGCCACCACGCACAGCTAATTTTTGTATTTTTAGTAGAGACAGGGTTTCACCCGGGTTCAAGTGATCTCACCATGTTGCCCAGGTTGGTCTCCAACTCCTGGGCCGAAGCGATCCTCCCACCTCGGCATCCCAAGCCCTTCCTTCCTTCCTTCCTTATGAGCCACCATACTGAGCCCTGTGTGAGTCCGTCCTTCCTTCCTTCCTTCCTTCCTTCCTTCCTTCCTTCCTTCCTTCCCTTCCTTCCTTCCTTCCTTCCTTCCTTCCTTCCTTCCTTCCTTCCTTCCCTTTCCCCCCTTCCCTTCCCTTCCTTCCCTTTCCCCTTCCTTCCCTCTCTCTCCTTCCTTCCTTCCTTCCTTCCTTCCTTCCTTCCTTCCTTCCTTCCTCCCTCCCTCCCTCCCTCCCTTTTTTTGACGGAGTTGCGCTCTGTCACCCAGGCTGGAGTGCAGTGGTGCATCTCGGCTCACTGCAACCTCCGCCTCCTGGGTTCAAGCTATTCTCCCGCCTCAGCCTCCAGAGTAGCTAGGATTACAGGCACATGCCACTATTCCCAGCTAATTTTTTGTATTTTTTTTTTTAGTAGAGACGGGGTTTCACCATGCTGGCCAGGCTGGTCTCAAACTCCTGATCTCATGATCCGCCCACCTCAGCCTCCCAAAGTGCTGGGATTACAGGCGTGAGCCGCTGTTCCCGGCCGAGCCATTTCAATAATAAAACCTCATATAAAAAGTTGCATTTACAGGACCAAAGTCAAGTTTTTAAAGAAAAAATTTTAAAATATCTCATGTATTTAGATGTTTTAATTAAAGTTAATACTTCATATTTTCTCTATGAAATATATTGTATTTCATTTCTTTCATCATAAATATGTAATATATGGAAATTGAATGAGTTTTTCCCCAGGAACCACATAGAGAGTCCCAAATCCCCTCCAGCTTTCCGTCTGTGCAATTCCAAGCATGTTCCATGGCAATATATAAAGTTGGGAATCACGGAGAGGTCTGGTTAAAACCTTGTGGAATACCACACAGCTAGAAAAAAAGAATAAAGATGACATCAGTTGGTAATTGTTGAAACTGCCTGGTGAGTACATGGGGATTCACGTCTGAATATGGAAACGTCTACAGGGCTGGGCTAGGTGGCTCAAGCCTGTAATCCCAGCACTTTGGGAGGCCGAGGTGGGCGGATCACCTGAGGTCAGGAGTTCGAGACTAGCCTGACCAATATGGTGAAACCCCGTCTCTACTACAATCACAAAAATTAGCTGGGCGTGGTGGTGTGCGCCTGTATTCCCAGTTACTTGGGAGGCTGAGACAGGAGAATTGCTTGTACCCGGATGGCGGAGATTGCAATTCTCGAACCTGGAAGGTGGAGGTTGTAGTGAGCCGAGA